CTATTTTATCAAGCAAACCTTATTGCTATCTTTATTTGATCTATACAAGATCTGGTGGTCACTTATCAAACCAATTATCATCAAATACCTTATTACAAGGCTACATTACTATCAAGAAACTATAACTATCAAGTACAAACTTATCAAACAACATAACCTTAAGCTATAACAGAACCCACATTTACATTAGTATAAATACATTCAATATTTTTTAAATAAAGTTATTGTAGTGTAGCACTAATAACCATAACTGATTCTTTTTGGACTGCGAGATTAAGGTTTCTCCATTTAACGTTTGAACCTTAAACCAAATGAACTTTATATCGACCAACCTTATTTTTAACAATATAAAAAGAGCAATGCTTTTGCTAAAAGCTCAATTCATTCAATAAATCACCTACGATTTGAATCACAACCTTTTCTTTTTTATTTTTATCTTTTTTTATTATTCTTTTTACTTTGTACAACTCAGTCTGATCAACTTTACACGATCTGGTGGTCACACATCGAACCTTTATTATAACTTTACCTTTTAAACACTTTTGCTACGAACACACAAGCTTCTATTTTTATTACCTTTTACAACACACTCAAACCCAAGGTCTACAAAATTGCAACAGTTTACGTGTATTTAAATCGTGTGCATGAGTTGTGAAGTTGGCACGATTCACCAATTGCTTCATGTGCATGATTTTCTCTCATTCGCGCATATTTATTGGAAAAATCCGTTAAATTGAGACAGAAGTAAAATATATGGCCATTTATTGAGAATGGCAGGCGCTAAGGGGGTCACAGTGGCCATTTGTCACAATTGCATTCTATCCTTTTCCAATAGGACATGTTCTACAGTTATGTTTTCTGAGAACATATTGATGCTTATTTTCAGGTCAACTAGTTGCCTTTTCACAATACATCAAGTGGTATTTGACAAAGCAATCATCATCTTTTGAGTTCCACTGTCTTTTGCTTCTTAAAACGCTCAAATCCGTCCTGAATGCTAGCCTGTGTTTATTGGATCTGTTGCTGCGCGGCTAATTTGGTTGAATCCAACTAGAATTTCGAATCACGTTTTACCTTACTCAATTACCCCACCATGGTGTCTATACAATGCTTGAAATTGGACACATGACCTTTCCCCGCTCCATCAGTGATATCCCTTCCTTCATCAACCTGACTACGCTCACCATACTCTTGCAAATAACCGACGCATTTTGACGCCTTTGTTGTCTATCTGATGACCCAGACACTATTGCTTCTTGTGACCGACTAACGTACGAAGTACTGTATGATGCAATTTCATCCAAAAGAAACTCTTTCTATGAATGTTTCATCCGTTTCAAAAAGTGAATAAAAACATAGCACTTCGGTTGGGTCCCTTGCTGCTCTCTTCGAAACTACCTTTTTAATGAGAGATAGACATTTGCTGTTATTCATTTGCAATTCTTAAGACAACAGATTAATAAGATACGCGCCCACTGGCATGGGAGCAAACTTTTACCTTATGGGATGGTCAGAGGCGCCAATATATTTGAGGCTGTTTATTTACAGTACTTTTTCAAGATGATAGAAGAATATCGTTATAAAAAGTGAGATATTTTTAATTGTCCTCGTTCTTTGAAAGTGGCAGTTCTTGGGGAGGGAGAGGTTCAGAGCTCTTGTTTGTTTCGGCATTTGTCCAAGCATTTACGAGAGTGCCAAACAAAGCCCTTGAAGTCTCTCAGTTTTAAGCTATTAGAAGCCTCACTGATTCTTGTCATTAGTGTCTCAGTTTCCAGAAACTTGTTCCGTTTGACTTTACTCCTATCACTATGGGAAATTCCCCCCCAAATATTCAATGTCCAGTGAATTTCTTTTTATAAGAGAGCACTGGTGAGCCAGTAGTCCGGGTTTTATCTAAAGTCAACTTGACCAATACTCTTCTATTTTCCCATTCACATAAGAATTAATCTTGTCAATAATTTAATAGCATAAATGGATAGTTGTTTTAAAATTCAATAAAGCAAGCATTGTTAGTAATATAGTAAGCGTAGTTCAAAAAGTAACACATTGAGCCGCTAGAGAAGATAGTTACAATGCAAAGTCCACTTGATAACATCGTAAATTATTAAATAAACAGCAAAAACAAACCGATAACATATCTCAAAGCGCACTATGTTTTTTCTTTTAAGCAAGCAAAAAAAGAAGGAATGTTTAATAAGCAAAGTATACCGCTTTATTGAACGATGGCTCCACTGTTAAAGGTAGTACATATGTTATAGCAGCTTTACATTTGATTATTCTCAGCAATTATAGTGCTATGTTGGCTATAAAAAAGAGTATTAGCAAATTGTAGAAAAATCAAGAGCAATTCTATTTCTTACTAAGCATCTTTCTTTATACGATACTGTTGTCCAGTTATATCATGGCGAGCAAGATATTCCACAAATTCTTCATCATGTGTAATAATCACAAACTGGAAGTTGCGTTGAGTTCGTTTTCTTGCAATAAGCCTATGTAGTTGCTATATGTAAGCAAGCATATATTATTTAAGGTTTACAGTTTACCTTGCTAAACTTTCAGCCAAGCTTTCAATATTTTCTCTGTCAAGATTAGTAGTGGGTTCATCCAATGTAAATATACCACAGTTTATACAAAAGGTTTCTGCCAGCGCGAGCCTAATAATGATTGATGCTAATACCTTCTGACCTGCACTACATCGACCCCTCATGTTTAACTCAGAGCCGTTTTGAAACATCACTACCTATATCAGCGTGTGTTAGTAAATTCAAACATTAATCGTGAATTATGGCATACTCTATAGTTGAATGTTCTATTAGCTGCAGACCCCTCGTTATCTGCACGTATTTCTATATAGTCAATATCTATATGAAATCCAATTAGTACAGAAAATATTTTGATGCCTTTAGATAATAAAAAACCTCCTCCTTTATATGTGTTCATCCATAAGCCTTTAATTGTCGTATTCAAATCCTCCATTTTTAATGAGTGGTATTTCATGATAGCTGCCTGCAGGACTTTGCTATATTTATCAAGATCAGAAACAGCGAGTTCTTTAGTCTTAACATCCAAGAACAGCTGCCCATAGCGTCCATCAACATCTGCATAATCGTTTGCCAGTTCTGCTTCATATCTCCTAATCTGATCACGCATTTGAACAAGCTCACCCCTGATGCTTCCACGCTAAAAACAAATTAGATTGGATGGGATGAACTTCTTATTTATATTGCTTACCTTATCAATTAAATTAGTTTCTTCATCTTGTGCTTTTTGTAATTGTTCTGTTAAAGCTGATACATCAGTGCTTCCTTGTTTCTCTTCTAGCTCACGTAATTCATCTTCGCATTTAGCAAGCTCTGCTTGCATTTCTCTGTATTTAATTTGGTCTTGTAAATCACGCTCTATGCCTCGTCTTTCTGATTCATCCTTTTCCAGAGCGTTAATTCTATCTGTTGTTTCAATTATCTGGCTCTTTAATCTATCAATCAATTTTTGAAGCTCGGTACATTGCTCCATTGCACTTTCAAGTTTAGCAGAGCCAGAAGTGGCTTCATCTCTAATTTTAGGAATATTAGTATAAGCCTGTATTTAGGAATATTCTAACCAAAAATTATACCTAGAGATACGACGGTTGAGCTCATCAAGTCGCTCAATATATCGCATAAATATATTTTGTTCGGCAACAGTATTTTCTTCAGCTATACGCCACTCGCCCATGGCCTTTTCGTGTGCAGCAGCAGTTTCTTCAACTTGAGCTTCAAGAGGGGATATATCTTTTTCAATTTTCTACAGGATGTGAATATACATGAGCAAGAATGAACTTCAAATAATGCTTCTCTTTTTTTATATTAACCTTTAGTTCTTCTATATGTTCCATTAAGTTCTCTTCGTATTCCTTTAGTTGCATTTCTACACCCACTTTAAAATCTAGTTTATGCTGGCAGTTGAGCAATTTTTCACGAAAATCTCTTATGTTATTTTCAACTGCTTGTATTTGACGACGAGAAAGATCTATATCATCATGTAGTCGTTTGATATCACGACGCACTGCTTGACTATATGTATAAGTTATTAATATATGTTCTAAGTTATAATGCATATATATACCTTTTCATAGATATCTCTTCCATATCTTTTTGACAATCAGTCATTGTTCTTGTTGAACCCATAAAGTTTAATTCATTTTCAAGTTCTGAAATGTCCCTTTGAAGAGCGTTACATTCTTTCAGCAAACGCGTTATTTCCTCTGCAGTTTTCAACGTTTTATCTATTTTGTTTGTATAGTTTTCTATCTCTATCAATTCAGCAGACGCCTAAAATCATCAAGTTAAATAACAAGCAAAAACAGTCCTGAACGCCTTTTTCTATCTTACCACGTCTGCTCTATTTGACGCATTTTCTTTTTCTTTCTCAAATTCTCCAAGATTTTTCTCAAGGTTAGCAATGTCTTTATTCAATGTTTCAAGTTTGATATAGCTCCCTTGAGCTGCACGCAGTCGTATTCTCTTATCCTCATTTGTTTTCAGCTTATTATTCAGTCTTTCTCTCTGGTCTGGAATCCTTTGCATTATAGTTTGTAATTTTCCTTGAAATGCGTCGTTCTCTACATCTTCATTAAAGCTTCTGGTACATAATGGGCAGCATTTAGAATTTTGCGCTCGTTCAAAGAATTTGCCATAAATCAGTTCAGCACCACGAATATTCGCAAGCTGCCTTTTTTTTTTTTTTTTAACACTTTTAGTTGCTTTTTCAATGAAAGTTACAAAAACTTACTCTTTTACATCTTCAATCACCTTTTCATTCTGAGCCAAAGCTTCCATAAACTCAGTGTCTCCGCATGCAGCATGAATCGTAGCTTGATGCTCTAAGGCAGATAATCAAGTTTTAGCAATTCAAAAATGAAAAGAGGATCTTGTCTCTTACTTTCAATTTCTCGTTTTCTCACGGAAATATGATGTCTTGCAACCCCAATTTTACCATCTGCAGCAGAAGCCTCATTGTTTGCTTGGTTTCTAAGAGCTTTCAAGTCGTATATATTCTTTTCTCTTTCTCTATAAAGCAAAAAAAAGGATGGTATGTTAAGAATCGCAAAGAAAACATGCTATGATTTTATACCTTTTAAACGTCAAGAGTTCTCTTTCCAGGTCTTGCTTGGTCGGTTTTTTACCTATTATACTCTGAACGCTTTCTGTACATTCTTCGTACCTGAAATATTTCAAGTTAGTGGTACGTGACACAAAGGGTTTTAACATCCTTACAGTCTATTTAAAATAAGCTCTTTTGATTCCTTTTCGGTGCGCTTTAATGACAGTTTAGCTGAAGTATCACTTTGTTTGCTTAATCGATTCATTTCATCATTTAATTCAGAAGCTCTGTCGTCCAATTCTTTCAATTCGTTCTCTTTGTTCTGTAGCTTTTCTTTTACAGAATGATCAATAGTAGTCTCTAGTTCCTTTAGCTTTTTTTGCTACACGTAAAAAAAAAGTGAATATTTTCTATTGTGAGCCACATGTTTCCTTATTATTTACTTCTCTTTCAACTCTTGCTTTTGCATCTTCAATTTCACTTGTGGATACCTCAAATTCTAACAATCTGTTTTTATGAGCTTGTATTTGTGCTTTATCATCTTCCTAAATTACTGTTGTTACATTTACCATGTAAAGATAAAAAAAAGAGGCTTACAATAAGTTTTGTCAAACGCTTTTTACTTTCGATAATTGACAAGTGTCTGCTTCTCAATAACTGAAGCTCGTCAGAGAGCGTGTTTTGTCTTGTTAGAGCAGCAGTTTTGTCTTTTTTCTGTTTTGTTTGAAGAGATGTAACGTGTTTTCTTAGAGAAGTTGCTACTTTCGGACCATCGTGTATAGACATAGACATCCCATGAGTTGAGTTTATTTTTTCAATCAACTCAATACGTGTTTGAATCTGCTGCTCAATTTGTTCCTTTGCTGCCATTAATCTACCAATAGCTGTGTGCTTTTGTGATAGTTCGTCCTGTGCTGACTTTAGCTTTCTTTCCAGTTTTGATTTTTCGCTCAAGAGCTCAGTTCTTTCTCCAGTGACTTTGCTTTCGTTCATCTGATGGTTTCTCAGCATAATCTTGAGTTCTTCTGTTGATTCTGATCGAGGTGTGATGGTATCTTTGATTGAATTGATTGTGCTCATATAAAAGTCTCTCTTGTTGATAATTTGCTGTATTTGATCCGCTGTCAGGTTAAAGTCTCGGAACGTGTCCTTGAGCTTGGTAACTTTCTGGTGGATTTGGTTAATTTTTGTGTCTACCAAGTCAAGTGTATTCAGCTTTGCTGCTGTTTGTTGATTTAGTTGGGTCAGATTACTACGTATTCTCTTCGCTTTTTCAGTATCCGCTTTTAGTGCATCCAAACGAACATTTCCAATCTTGATATTTTCGTGTAATTCCTTTTTTACGTCTTTGATATTATCAAGAGCCGCCTGGTATTTCTTTGATGAAAATATCTCATCAAATCTTTTCTTTAGCACACCTGGTTCTGATAATGGCCAATTACTTTCTTCTTGATGACAGAATATCACATTATCCAAGATAGCCTTTGGCACACCTAGGTGAAGTGGTAGTTCCGCATCCATATCGGCACATCGACTACTGATACTAAACACCTATTACATTTTGTTTATTATGAAAAGCTGACTACGAATAACATTTTTATTTTTTACCTCGCCTGTTTGATTATCATATCTCAATAAGGAATTATCAATTGACTTCATCGTAGCTGAGGCTTTCTTTTTGGACACTGCCAGAGAACGACTGCAAATCATCTTTTCTCCATTGATATTATAAAATTTTAACTTTACTTGTGCTTTCACTTCATTAGAGCCAGCAACCTTTTTAATGTATATATGTTGTTAATGTCTCTCATTCGTGCAAACACACGCACACAAACGTGTGCACTCTTTCTTTTTTTTATATCGAACCTTTGGATCGTTTACAAATGCACCGCCCTTACTGTTAGGTGGTTGGTCACCTGTACATGCATAACGAAGGCACTCAATGATTGTCTACACACAACATGTTATTGCTTCACAATTCAGAGAAAAGAAATGCTTTATTATTACAGTTTTTCCAGAACCATTTGAGCCAACAATTACTGTAAGTGGTGAGTTAAACTTTATGTAACTGGCTTCTTCAGGGCTGAATGAGCGAATGCCCAGTATAGCCATACTTTCTATTTGTGACATGCTGATAAAGAAAATAAAAAGTGGCCCTTTGCAGGAAATTCATGTAGCTACGCAAGTGATAAGCCACTGAGATAAAGGTTTATTACAACAATTTATTAAAAAACGTTGTTCAGACAAATCACTTGTTTATAAAGTGTGTGATTTAGAAAAGATAAAAATGAGAGGATAGAGAAAGCAGTGAATAAAGGAAGGATACTGCTTATACTCTTTTTTTTGTATATGGATTTTTTTTTTTTCATGTCAACTATTGTTGATAAGGTTGTTGTTTCTGTGTAGATCGGTTTGAATGATGGTGCCCTCCACCTCTTCCACGTCCACGCCAGTTATTTGATCTATTGTGATAGTGGGGATGGCGTTGCTGATGACTATAATATTGACGTTGTTGCTGTTGTTGTTGTTGCTGTCCTTGAAGAGGTTGTTGACCATTTACAACCTGTTGTTGTGTTTGATCTTGTTGTTCAGTACTTTGTTGATGCTGGCGTGTTGCATTAGCTTGTTGTTTATTAGGTTGTTGTATCTGTGCATCTTCCAAAGCATTGGGCGCAACATAAAGGCTTTTGTCAATAACAGGAGGAATAGGTTGAATTTCGGTTCCTAGTTCGCGTTCAATCTTGTATAAATTGAATCGATCTTCATATGTAATCAAATTGATAGCTAAACCAAGATGACCAAAACGGCCGGAGCGACCAATACGATGTAAATAAGTTTCAGCATTCTTGGGGAAATCAAAGTTGATGACAACATTGACTGCTTGGATATCGATACCACGGGTCAAAAGGTCTAAGAGAATAAATAAGTCACTTGTTATATACTCCAAAAAACACTTTTTACCTGAACAAACCAAGTTACGGCAAACACCATTTCTGAAATCATGGAATACACGATTGCGATGACTTTGTAGCATTTTAGCATGAGAATAAAAGCAAGAATAACCCAATTCAGTGATCTTCTTTGCCAAGAGTTCCACTCTATTTGTTGAATTACAGAATATAATAGATTGATTGATTTGAAGCTAAAATGACAGGTTGGCAAACGAGCAAATGCATATAAGCAGTTTTACCTTTGAGAATAAAGTATTTAAACAATGCACCTTTTGTTTTTCTTCCACATAAGCATAGTATTGAGTTACACCGCGTAATGTCAACTCGTCCATTAAATTGATCTCATAAGGTTTAACCAAGTACTTGTCTTTAAAATTTTTTACAATCATAGGGAATGTTGCACTGAATAACATGATTTGTTTGTTCTTAGGAAAGTAATCCAAAAGTTGTTCAATAATGGGTGTAAATTCAGGAGATAACAGTTTATCAGCTTCATCCATGACAAATGTATGTGCAGCGCTAAAATCTGCAACACCTTTTGATGCCAAGTCTAGGATACGTCCAGGTGTACCAACTACAATATGTACAGTTTCGCTTAAACGCATGATATCATCTTTTAAAGTAGTACCACCTGTGGTCACCATAACTTGAATATTTAAATGTTTACCGAGTGTTTTACATACTTGAGAGGTTTGAAGAGCTAATTCACGTGTTGGAACAAGTATAAGGGCTTGAATTTTTGGAGTATTGGTAATTTTTTCTAATGTAGGGATAACAAATGCTGCAGTTTTTCCTGTGCCGTTTTTAGCTCTGGCAAGGATATCACGACCAGCTAGTGCAAGAGGGATAGCTTCTTCTTGGATAGGTGAGGGGCGTTCGAAACCAGCTTCAAAAATGCCCATTAATAGTTCTCGTTTGAGAAAATAATCCTCAAATTCATTTCCTTTTGTTGCAGTTACATCCTATTTTATTACCCTTAGCATCTCCTTGTTCTTTATTTCTCCCTCTTTCTCTATGTACCTCAGTTTGTGGTCTACTATCTTTTGGTGGAAGTGTAAGAGCAGTCTTCCAGTTTTCAGTTTCATGGCTAATAAAATAAAAAGTTTACTACAAACGCTTTTCTGACCGATTTAAAAGCAAAAAAGAGAGAATGAAACTTTGTTTACTTTAATTGACTTGAACTTGACATTTAATTTTAGCTTTATACAAATTATATTAATTAGTGAAAAAAGAAAAAAGAAAGAGAGAGGGAGTGGGCGAGAGGGATTGATTTTAGATGACGCAGTTCGGAGTTTTTTCTCTTTCTCACACACATACACTTTTTAAGGTAATGATCTCAAATGGTGTACGCACTCTCAGGGGGGAACATTTCTTTCACAGCGGACATAAGTAGCAACAAACTCAGGGTTACGCTCAGTTGCTAATGCACACAAATAATCAGCATGAGAATTAGCTGTGTGAAGAGCGTACACGCCTTCAATCATATAATCTGTGAGCTCATGGCAGCCATGTTTGTCGGCGCAACATGGTTTTGTTTATATTCATAAAAGAAAAAAAAAACATGGGGTTCAATTCTTGTACAACAGCGTTTTCTGTATATTTAATAATACAAGGCAAAAAGAGTAACAGAGTTGCAAGAATTTGCTTAAACATCCAGTATCTTTCGATTCTGTGGACTTTTAACCTCTTCACCATTACTTGATAAACCACGCATACGTTCCCAGATATCTTGGCTGATGCTATTCTTATCATTATGTGTTTCCGCATTCAGCTGCTGCTCCCATTGTTCATGATCTGATGCAGTGTAAGTCTTGACTTCATGAGGAGAAAATGCAGCAGCTGCCGTTGGTGTAGGGCGATGAGGGTTATTTGGGTTATCCCTATCTAATTCCTTATTATACACAAACAATGGGTAATCACGGCTATGGCTTCTCTCCGAAGAAGTCATGGTTCGCATCCATCGAGGATTCATCGGATTTGATCTTCTACGTGTACGTCTCTTATAATAGTAATAGCCAATAATACCAATAAGAATCAGAGCAAAGAAAGTAAATCCAATGCCAAAGCCTTCTTTCTTGGCTGTGTCAGAGATTGGAGCTAGAGGGTTTTGGATGACACTATTGTCGTAGTCAAGAGGCTTAAAGGTTACTTCATTGACATTAGGTATAGTAAATTGACATTGAGCAGATGGTGAAATGGTTGGTATGAGACTACTGGCGTCAACATCAGTCACCCATTTCCAGTTGTTCATATCAAGGATGTAAACTAAACGATTATAGTTATTTTGACTTGTCTTGCCCATAATGACAACCATATAATTGTTAATGCTCGCTGCTCCATGGGCAAATAATCCTGGTGGTGAGGTACCGCCGACCGATTTCTTTGACCAAGCCAATGTACAGGTATCAAGAACATAAACGTCAGGATTAACAACAGTGCCATCGGTTTTGTCTTTGGAGACATAGCCACCAAACATAACAATAGATCTACCATCAGGTCCAGGCACGGCAGAGTAGCTTTATATAAAAAAGTGGTAAAAAGATTGTCCTTGCTAAGCTTCACTATATGCTTACCCAACTCGAGCAGGAGGAATATCACCATAGGTTGCTACAGTTGCAGCTGTTTTTGAATCGAGATCATAGACTAATACACTATTGAAATCAGCCCACTTAAATTCAGAGGATGCATTTGATACGCTTGCTCCATAAGTGATGCCACCCATGATAAATATTTGATTGTTACTATAGCAAAAGTTATATGAATATATTCGTTTTTACAAAAAGATCTTTTCTGTTCTTACATAAGGTTGGAACTGTGAAAGGCTCTTCCAGGACGATGTTGGTTAGGATATGTTGGATTAGAAGTTGTCCAAGTCATTGGTGATTTTGTCGTATCCAGTTCTATAAAATCCGATGACTTTGTGCAATGTTGGTACTTTTTCATCTATAAAGAGAGTTATCTTTGCGAACTTACAGCATTTGTTCTTAACATTGTATGATTTGTAACTGGTAGGCCACCGTAGTAATATGCAATACCCGTTTTTGGGTGTATGGATACTGTCATCAATGCAGTTGCTGGCGGCATTTGTGTTGTATATGCTATTATAAAGTTAATTGGCCTTCTTTTTTAATCCAAATAGCGCATACCTGGTGTGCATTTCACACTTAAATCAGATTCAAAAGCACAGCTAGCCATATTTTCCAAGAAATCGTTGCTATTTTCACCAGCCCGTAGCAAAAAATCGTTATTAGTCCCCTTGAAGGCTACACCATACTTATAGGGTGGAGTGCCGGCATTCAGATAGTACCATCTAAGAGAGTTTAAGTGTATTCCATTGGTATAATTAAGGATCGAAAAATTTGCCTAGACAATGGGGTTAAGTATAACATATACTAGAGATAAATAATGGTCTTACTTCTTCTCCACCAACAGCAAAAATTGCATTATTGAAAATAATCGTCGAAAAGAAGGACCTATCATCAGAAGCTTGTTGCTGAGCTGTTGATAAGTTTGGAAAGAGTGATAGCCCTACAATGGCTATTTGGACAAGAGATATTCCAGCTCTTGTTTTCATGTTGTTAAAGGAAAGTAAAAATGGGTTTCTGAAAAAAAAAAAAAGAAAAAGAATAAAAAAGTGTGGAGACATGGGAAATATGTTCTCAGTTGATGAATAGGTAACATCAACAAGTTGTACAATTCACTTTTGTTACTTGTGAATTACTCATGATTCATGCGGATCCTCAATTGGCCAGACTCTGAGTTCTATAGGTGATACTCATAGATTTTGATGGTAAATCAATAAAGTCTGTAAGCCTTTTTCAGTTTCTTTTTTTATTCAAATAAAAGGTTTGTCAAGCCAAGCAATCAATACATTCAAATAATTCCATCGCCTAAGTCGTACCTTTTTATATTTTCAACAGGTGATTTTGGTTTGATCAGACGAATTGAATTTAGGAAAGCCAAGATCTTTTAAATATTACATAATTGGTTTTGCAGTTCTTTCCAACTGCTGTCATTACTACAAGGATAAATTATCTTTAAAGTTAGTTTTAATATTTGTATATTTATGTAAATATAGATATTGTGTGTTTCTAATGTTGCACATACCAATAAGCATTAAAACGTTGGTCATATAGTTAAGCAATGGTGAAGCGATACACTAAACCTTGCAGGGAGGAAGGCTTTTGAAGTCAAATTTACCGAAAAACATAAAATTGTCCATGCAACTGATATCTTCGAAGTATATATATTTTTCCTCTCTAGATGATTGCTGTAAATGCTTACTCAAACCATAAAAGAAAGCCCTTATTATCTTGGAGCTGCTATTGCTTTCAGGGAATATTTCTCAATCAAACATTTAACGACTCAAAATGACGCTCCTGTATCCAACTGTATTGTTTTCACTGCAAATACAGGATGACCACACACGGCACTATTTCCCCTAGTCAACATCTGAGACAGTTCTCTTTTACAGTCATACACAATTGAAACGCTTTTTTTCTTTCTCTTGTTGTAAGGGAATATATGGCTTTAGTTAATATGAGATATTGAGTAATCGTGACAGATAGACGATGTATCTGCAATGAACAATTAAAGGATAAATACCTCAATCTAGACGTTTTTTATGAAAGCTAATTTAGTTCCTAATTATCTTTATTGTATGACTTATTGTCCAAATTATCTTTATTTTAGTCCAAAAACAGAGTGAAGCCAAAGAAAGGTGATATACCAAAGCGCTGATAACATACCTCGGCCTTTATAGAGCTTAATTCAACTACCTTACTGTTATAGTCAATGCACGTGACTTAAAAGAACAGCCTTCTACTGTTTTATTAAAAAAGTATTTATGCAAAGGTTAAAAATAAAATGCGTGTAAAAGGAGACGACATATAAATGAGAGTAATAAGTACCAAGGAGAGAATATAAAGAATTATATAGTTAGTTATGTAAGAAAATTATTATATATAACTTACCTCGAAGGTATCTAGATGTGTCCTAGCGATAACTAGGACGGATATTCATCGTCTAAGCGTATTCTAGTTCTTGGCTGCTCCTGATCGTCCACTCTTCTTCGACGTCTTGTAGGAGCAACAGCAACCCGGCGAAACCTATGAGGAACCATGCCATTACGTCGAAGCCCACGAAGGATGTGCATGTAGTTGAGGAAAGCAGCAACATCCCTGTTCCATAAGCGATATCTATCTGGTGCTGCCATGGCAGGTCTACAGTATAGATTAGTGCATCTACAAGCAATATTCAATCAGTATAAAATCATCCAAGTGGTTCATGTATTATTACCTTAGAAAACCATGACAGACAACCGTAGAATATCACTCTCGTTGATACAGTCGTGGATTTGGAACACGACGGAATGTGTGGAGGCTTTCATTGTGGCATGTTGGACAGCACCTACTAGTCTTATACTCGTCTATAAGATACACTTGGAACCCATGTTTCTTGAGGAGTCTTCGGAAACCAAGGCTACGGATGGGCTCATGATATCTAGCATGGGGAGCGGACCAGTTTCCCATCACAAACACAGCGTCTTCTCCAAACTTGGCACGTAAGTCTTGAACAAGTTTTTGATCGGCACGTTGTTTGTTGAAGTACGCTGAAAGACGGATCTTGTGAAAGAGGGGGTATCCATTAACATGGCTTGTGGTGGTATGTCCATAGAATCGACTGAGAACGGCAGGCTTAGCTTGAACGACATCAGGATTCTGGGCTTTCAGGCCTTACAGCGCTATCCATAGCAAGATAATGCCCTTTCATATGTGGCTACTGATCCATTTTATCCATCGTGGCCTTCAGAAAGCTAAAATAGTGAACAGTTACTGTTCCTATACTCGTTTGCTCAGCATAACCTTCTCTCTTTCTTTTCTTGGCTGGCAGCTGCGGTAATCTCAGGCTATACTTTAATAATCCTAAAGCAGAGATCGCACCTAAAATCGTTGTTATTTGTGCTCAGGTTTTGGGTACTGTGACCACAGCAGGCAATCCTTTTTTTGACCAGGCCATACTATGTTTTAAATTAATGTGAAATGCAGACTCATCGAGAAAGATGCAATTAGTTCTAAAGTCCATGTCCGTACACTTCCACTTATGAACCCAATCAAAACGCTCCTGAATTTTTCTTCACTGTTCCTATCTACAGGCTGAAATTGGGCTTTTTTGAGTGACAAGTTACATTCAGTTCTTGCAAAATTGTAGACAGTGCTTTTAGAGACCTTGAGATCCTGAAGCTTTTGAAGTAGTTGCTCCATTACTTGCTCCAAGACGGCTGAAGGACTCTCATCTATATACTCCAAGATCACTTGCTTGTGTTCTTCATGAAGTATACGCGAGCGACCGGTTTTCTTATGCTTTATAAAAATACTATCAGGATCTGTTTTGCACATTTGAGCTCATCTTTGAGCTGTGCGAACATGAATACCTAATTGCTTCGCAGCAGCTGAGGCACTCATAACTTTCTCAAACACCAGTTTAAAGAATCTAACTTTGCCTTGATCCGTATAGAGTGTGTACGCTCGCTTACTCGACGCCTCCTTCATGCAAGCATCTGGGTCATCTTTTGCATCTCCATCTGTCACAGAGCCTACATCGAAATTATTCTCCTGAGGCTGATTATGCAAATACTGGGTGTGTGAGCTAACTGTTTCTAAAGCATATCGCTCCTCATCAATGATGTAGACCATAGGCTCAGGTCTACCGTATTCATCAACTGCATTACCATGTCCGTCTTCAAAGAAAATTTGAAAGTTCATATTGTAATACTCTGTTTTTAATGAGAAAGGGAGTAA